AACAAGCCCAACACGTGACTCCTCCATTGGATATCGTTCGGGCTGTAAAATTGTTATCAACCTGATTTGATTGACGAATCCTCGAAACTTGGAACGTGTTCCATCAAACTTATCTGGAAGGCTAACTCGAGGCTCCTTATGTTGTAGAACTAGTGGTTCTTGTCGAACCTGAGGTAAAGTTGTTTCTCCAAGTGCCGAAATTTGAGGCTGGTGTAGTTTAGATTGTGCTATCCCAGATACTCCATCATTATGAAGCCTTGCCACCACTCCTTCAATCTCTGCAGTTCTTTGTGATAATGTAGCAAGGGCATTCATAATAGCATCTAACTTAGACTCCGAACTTTCTGTCATACTATTGTCTTGACCTCCTGCCATTCTAAAAGAAGGACAAAAATGACCCTATAAGAGGCAATATTGGTTTATAGGAGGGTAATCCACAACCTATAAAATGCCTTAAGAATTTCAAGAAGAGGTGTAATCCACTCTCTCCAAGAAGAATAAGACTCCAATATTGTAACAGAAGAAGTATCAGTTTAGAGGAGGGTAATCCGCAACCTCTAAAAAATGCTAGTATACCTTCAAGTAGAGGGATAATCCACACTCTACTAAGAAAGAACTAGCTCTGATATTTCAAGTTAGTGTAGTCTCGACAAACTGTCACGGACACAAAATACAGACTTGAAATCTAACAAGAAGTTCAAGAAGAAGTGGCAGAACTAGATTAAACAGATGAGTACAAGAACAATACCAAAAAGAGGAGCTAGAACTCCAAGAGATGTGTTGTCGAGACTGAAGAACTCTTCAGCCTCGATCCCTATATATACTCCTACTTAGGAAGCTTCTCGAGCTACTTCTATTAACTAAGAAGCTTCTAGAAGGTTCCAGAGGCTTCTTTTCTAAAAGGTTCTATAAACTTCTCGAGCTACTTCTATTAACTAGGAAGCTTCTAGAAAGTTCCAGGGGATTCCTTTCTAGAAGCTTCTAGAAACTTCTCTTCTAGAAGGTTCCAAAGACTTCCTTTCTAAAAGCTTCTAGAAACTTCTCTCTAAAAGGTTCCAGATGCTTCTCTTCTAGAAGGTTCCAGAGGCTTGTTTTCTAGAAGGTTCTAGAAACTTCTCTCTAAAAAGTTCTAAGGAATATGTCCCTAACAACTTCATGTATCACGACAATAGAATGGGTGATTCAAGTTCTTGAGCAGTATTTCAAGTGTATCATTAATAATGATCAAGATCATTGGACAACTCTTTTGCTATTGGCAAAGTTTGTGTACAATAATTTGATACATTCTTCTTATCAACAAAAACCTTTTTTTTTTCCAATTATGGTTATTATCCATAACTTAATACTTTTGACATTTTAAAAGTTGATAATCATATGGAGAAGATTTGACAAATTATTTATTAAAGTTACATGTAACAATAAAGGTACAGTTAAAGAGAGCTCAAGAATGACAAAAAATTAATGTGCATGCCTATTATAAGAAACAATTACAATTTAATATGGATGAAGAAGTATGGCTACTTTGTCGCAATATCAAGAGTATTCACCTTTGTGACAAGTTGGACTATTATAAGCTTGGACCTTTTTTTTATTTTTGATCAAATCAATCTTATTGCTTATTGATTACATCTATTAGGGTCTATGAAGATCCATCCCATCTTTCATGTATCTCTTTTTTAACCATATAAAATAATGAATATCTTAGAAAGAAGACAAATGCCACCTCCTCCTATAAAAGTGGATTATAATCAAGAGTTTGAAATAGAAGAAGTTTTAGATTTAAGGTGACATCAAAATAGGTTGGAATATCTTGTTCATTGGTACGGATATGATATTAATAAATGTACATAGGAGCCAACAAAGAATCTTAAAAATTGAACAAAGAAAGTTGAGGCTTTTTACTAATGACATCCATCAAAACCAAGAAATAAAATTGCAAGATCTATAAAAGATGATGATCGCTCCTTGTAGAATTTGTTCTTAGAAGGAAGGATAATATCATGGACATACATACTTATTCTAATATTTACCTATATAATTAAGTAGAAGTAAATAAAAATAGATTTATTTCATAATACTTTCTAGAATAGCTTTCTTGAAGTTTCATAGATGTTGCTTTGACTTTACATGTATTTGTAGTTGATTGATAAGTTAGAAACTTGGTCAATAAGTTAACCACATATTAGTAGCTTGGAAAATAAGTTAACAATGTGGCACACATATAGAAAACTTGCCTTGTAAGTTAAGATATGTGTCTTACAAAGTCAACACGTTTTGGAGGTCCAATAAGTTAATACTATGTAGCTCCTAGTTAAGAATATATATAAATGCAAGAATGAAGCCTTTTCTTATTACATCTTTAAAGGATCTTATCATAAAACATACTTCTACTAGATATTAAATTGATGCCATGTCCAACTTAACTTAACACTAATTTGGGAGCTTACATCTTTTTTAATGTACTTATATTGGATTTTGTTGGTGAATCTATATTCTTCTTTCTCTTACAAAGCTTATATTGAAGCTTGTAATTGTGTTGTCATTGTTGGATTTGAGTTTGTTGGCACCATTGCTATCTTCCTATCTTATATACTTAGTTTTGTAGATATAAGTTTCAAACATTGAATTTAGTATTTGGATTGAATCTAACAATAACCATATCCCTCAATTTACAAAGTCAATATTGTATTGCTAATTTTGAATTCCTATCATTGTCAAAATTATTGAAATTTATAAACTAAAAGATGTACTTATTCAAGGTTGGAAGTTATAAAAGTATATAATTTATTGTGATGTTTCCTATAGACATTAGAAATAGTAAGTAGGTTATTAGAATTACTTTGGCATAGTAGTTGGATCACATATCAATGACTGGTTAGACAAAGCTCAAATTAAGCTTAAATTGATCTAGTTCATAGTAGATGTATCTAAAACATTACATTCAGTATGATAGATGGATATAAAAAACAAAGCTTGAGATCAGTCTTAGAGACAAAAAGAATAAGAATCTATAGCAAATAGGCTATATTGTAGCACATTCTAGCTCTCTACATCAGTAATAAGTCCTCTACAACTTGCGAAAAAAATATTTGCTTGTAATATATAGAGCATTGAAGTGGACAATAATAAGAGTAAAGAAGCGATTTGGTTCTTTGATTATTGGTCATTGGCACAAGTAGTGGTGCAAAATATACAAATGTATTTGAACAATATATATTTTTTTAGTTATTTTTTATGTCATTTTTTATTGTAATTATTAATTTTTTGATTAAAATCAATGATTATTGTTGAAATTATTTAAATTCTGTACTTAAAATAATACTTACTTAGCAACTTATTAAAAGAATTCATAAAAAATAAGAATTGAGGTTATATGATTGTTGTTAGAATTAAGTTATAATTAACTTAAATATTTTTAAACATGTGAGACTTCTTATTATTTGTAAATTATAAGTATTATAATTTTTTGATGTATAATTTATAATTATTATAAATAAAAATAAATTTTATTAATTTTTTTATTAATTTTATTTTGTGTTGATATTTTTTTAATTTTTTGAAGATACTTTTTGAAAGAAAATCTATTCAATTTATTTTTTCTTATATTAAATAGAAAAAAATATAATTAATTTAATATAGTCTATGTTTTATATTTAAAACTTTTTTATAATTTTTTCACAAACAAAGGGATAATATTAAAGTATTTGTATATATATATATATATATAGAGAGAGAGAGAGAGAGAGAGAGAGAGAGAGGTATTATAAATTAAACCTTGATAAGGAATCTATAAATTTTACATTGATTCTCATATTATAATAAAAATTGTAAATCAATATGATAACAACATTATTCATTACAAATCATTGTCTTTTAATATATTCTTTATAATATAATGGATGTGATTTTTTAATATATAGAAAATATCATAAATTTATATATATTTTGAAATATAAATGTAATAATAATAATAATAATATTAAAAATACATTTGCTTTGTTTACTACTACAATGAACTTCAAGATTAATTGGTTATTAAATATAGAGATAGTAGAAGTTTTGTCAACAACTATATTACTTCATGTGACAATTTCTATACCAAATCATCAAAGAAATAAAGTTATGTCCACCAAAAACAAAAAATTATTCTATTTGAAAAACTACATAGTTTTAGAATTTAGGTTTTAGTAATTATCAACCAAGTACAACTTTCAATTCAACTTTAAGTGAAAACATATTAAATTTTATCATCTCAAGTCACACTAATTAAAACACTGTCTACTTGACTTATAATTTATGAGTTTTTATAATTATTTGAACTTAAAGATTTAATATTAGACAATGTAAATGTATTTCTAGTAAAATTTTGTTATATGTACAAAACAAACATAATACAATATTTGTAGCAATCAACAAAGTTCAAACCTTACAACAAAACAATTATTTTATGTGTACATTTGTGTAAACAAAGTAAAAAATTATGATTAATTTTTGTGCAAAAAAAAAAAAAAAAAAAAAAAAAAAACTTCTTTTGATAGAAGCTTAAAAATATCTTTCACCATCTTTGGTTTTTACTTTTTAATATATTTGCTGTAATGGTAGAATGAATCTAAACTTAATCATTTAATTTAATAATTCTTATTTATTTTTACACCAATACAATAAAAATTACCTTGAATACTCATTAAAAAACCAATATCTCTGAAATTAAAGAAATCTTCTAGAATATATACCTTAAACTATTAAGAAAAAAAATCTATTTAATACCAGCCACTCACTCTGTAGTCTCTGGGTGGAACCAGACCATCAAATCTAAAAATATATACAATATATATATATATATATATATATATATTTGCCCACAAGTTAGACCATGAAATTATAAATAAATGTACTAGTAAATATAAATGTTAAAAAATTATAAAAGAAAAAGAAAAAGTTGTTCCCACTGCTCTTGCTTTCAATTCAAGATCAAACCATGATCACGCCTCCTTTGCACTCTCAGATCACATAATTTGTGAAGCAACTGCAACCTATTTTTGCACAAATAACTGCTGAACCCAATTTGTGGAAGCTGCAGCTCATCCTCCTCTCCCTCCTGCTTAAAAATCAGTATGATTCCATGCTTTAAAGCATCGTGTACTTCAAGTTGCAGATTGTGCGTTAGGTTCATCCACTTGAAGCCTTGTGGGAGTTGCAGCTTCTGTATGGTGAGAGCATGTGTGGCTCAGGACTGGTCCTTGTAGAGGTCATGCTTGCATTGCGGGAGGGTGTAGATCAGGATGGAATGTGCACTGGGTTAGCGCATTTTGCATGAATTTGGGGAATAGGGGCATGGTGCTTTCGTCATCTGTCATAATTTTCCCTGTGATTTTGTAAGTAGTAACCGAGAAGTACTGTACCCCCAGTTCCTGAAAGTACCACTTGAATTTTTGCACAGCTCAGAATCTAAGCGTTGTCTGTGGCAGGCTCTTATCAATCTTGTCATTCACTTTGTACAATTTTTATCTCGAGGTGGGTCATTGTACATTTCTTTTTCTTGAGTTAAGCAAGTTGCCATGGTAATAACCCTAAATTGATCTTGACATCAGACCATGATTAAAGGTTGCTGTAAATCTGAGATTCCTGTCTCACTGTTCTTCACATTATTAGGTGCTGCAAGTAGTTTTTATGGGTATGTGCCAAATTGTTTGTATCTGAAATCATTCATGTGGAAATTAAGCTGTTTATTGCAATCTCGAATAGCCCATTCAAACCTCGGAATTGTTCAGTGGAGGTGAAGGGCAAACAAGCCAAGGACGGAATGATTATCGTCATGCATGGAGAATACTTTTCTTAAGTTGAGCAGGTGAAGCGTCTATGATTCCTACAGAATTTGAAATACCTTCTGAACACAATTTCAACTTTCTGCGTTAATTGTGATTTGTTTTTAAGAATATCAACATGTATCGAAAAGATTTGCTGCTGAAATACGTTCTTGTGCATAAAATCTGGTTGCCATCAAAATAACTGATTTCTAACTAATATTCTTTCAGGGGTTAACATAGAGAGCTAAGGGCTATGTTGCAACATTGGCTACTACATTTTCCTGAGGGATGAGCTCATCTGGGTGTGTTGTTAGTTGTGCTCATTTCTGGGACAAGCACACGAGGTGGCTACACAAGCGTTCCTGTGTCAACCCCAGAGGGTGCGGAGGACTTCAGATTTGTGTGGATCTGCTAATCATCGTTGCATGTGAAGCGAGTACAATTTGCTGCGACAGTCGCTGCAGGAAACTTCAAAGCAGGGTATTTCTTATCTGATCAACACCATTGTTTGTGAGCTGCTGGATCGCAGTAGTTTAAAGTATTGACTCTGAAATGCGAAGCTTCGTTAAAAATTTGGGATGAATCTTTTCCTAGATTATTTCTGTAACTAATAATTGCAGGTTCAAATATCACAAATGAGATTCACGTTTAATGATAAGACCTTTATTAGCAGTAGCGTATAATCCAAAACTTAACAAACGTGTGATCCATTTTATTCTTTTCGCACCCCATCATACAATGGAGTAATATGGTAAATATCACTGACACGTCCGAGGTCTTGCATTGAAGACGCTTGGTGCTGTACGGAGTACTGTAGCTCTTGGATATCTTTTCATAAATGAATTTCCTGATCTCGCTACGCTAATGGCACACTTTACATGTCCCCAAATTCTGCTTTATGAAATGTATCCACCCTCTAAAGTCCGTCTGCTGAGAGAAAGTATTACATGTCTATCTACACTGCTGCTAAAGAAGGTATTCACACATCTGCAGCTTATTGACCTTGTGGTAAAGGAAACAGTATCATTTCCGTTTCAAGTACCTTAAGAATATGCCACTACTACTTCTAACACCCCACTTTCCTATTTTCTTATATTTTTTGTGTGCAGTTTCAAAGATACGTAAAAGAATAAGCGATATACAACCGCGAAAACGATCATTGGCACAACGCAAGCCCACATTCGAACCTTCCCCATCGATAGGCTTGAAAGGACCATATGCGAGTCCATGTTGTTGTACCAAATCACTCCTTTCTGCGACGCGAACTCATTGTGCATAATTGCTTCATATGGATACTTGAATATCGACAGGTAGTGGAACCAGATCCAGTACTTTGGAATAGCAGACCTGTGCAACAATACAAGAAGAGGAATGTCAAGTCTTTGAACACGTCGCTCTTTTTGGTTGTGAAATTCTTAGATTGCTTGCACGGTTGGAAAGTTCACCTCAAAATGTACAATCCGGAGAAAAGGTAGAAGAAGGCGCAGATACTTGACACAGTGGGTTGTCCAATGGACATGTCTGGAACTAGACTCGCTACAAACACCACCAAAGCATCGGCCACGTTGAAGGTGAGGAAAAGATTCAGGATATATAAGAGGATTGCGTCCCTTTTCATCACCATGCCCACCAAGAAGTAGGAAATGCCTGTATAGATCAACGCCAAGAGAGCCAAAAATGGTAGCATCACGATGGGCTTGGCTAAGACATAACTTGACGTTCTGTACGCCCCTCGAGATGTCTCACGGATGAAGACCTGCTTCTCCTTCAGAAACACGGGCAATGAATCGATGGCAGTGAAGATGATGTACGCCAGTGTGAAGCTTACGAATCCTTGGCGTTGCATGATTCCCCTGTAGTCCTTCTTCGCGTGAAGGAAGAGAGTTCCTAATATGGCGCCACATAGTACCTTAACAATCAACAGATGTTCGCATGAGCTCCTGGATCAGGATTGTAGCATTCCCTTCGTCACAAGGCTCGCATGTATCCTTCTCAAGAATTGTCTGCAATTAGCATTCGACTGGCTAGAGGGTGCAAATGAAGAGCAGAAAATTGAGATGGGAAGAGCAGTGCACACATACTGCAAGCACCAAACGAATGATGAAGATAGCCGGGGTGCGAAGAACGGACAGCAGCTCTCGGTGCATGAGGATGCCAATCTCCGGGAGGAAAGAATTTGCAAACATGGGTTGTGGGTCCTTCTCTGCAACCACGGGTGCCACTGTTTGAAAGTTGAAGTGCTCTCCGTTCTTCAAAGCATGTGCCTTTCGCTGAAAAAACATTCAGAACACAGCCAACTGTAAACCTCCAGTAAGATCTACGATGAAACCCTTACTAATCGAATACTTAGCGTAGTTAGAACGTTTCAGATCCGAGGATTGCAATTTACTGATTGTGAGTGAGAAGGCTGCGCTGTCGCGAAAATCTAGTTTAATTAGCAGAGACAACGATACAATCAATGCTCAAAACACAACACTTACTTGGTATTCTACAAGACGTTGGAGACCATCTGGATAATCTTGTGCCTCTTCAATGACATCTAACGCGTATTCGACCACATTCACCTGCAAGTCGCACAGCAATCAAGTTACTTGTACATCAATTGAATTGATTCTGAACAAATGAATGCTGCAATCCATTTGAAAGAGTTGGGCCACGAGTTAAAGAGTTCCTCACATGTACTCGCATGCCGGGCTCGATACAGTTGAAGTATGTGGTCATCCCTGAGACTGGCCCGCTGTAGACCACATTACCCTTGGCCATCACCAAAAACTTGTTGATCGTTTGGAGAATGCGGTGACTAGGCTGGTGGATGGTCAATATCACGGTTCGATTACGCACCAGCGCCATTTGAGACAAAATTTGCATGACTTGAAGAGCGGAGGAGCTGTCTAGGCCTGATGTGGGCTCATCCAGGAATAACACTGCCGGGTCATGGACTAAGTCCACTCCAATGGAGACTCGGCGTCTCTCCCCGCCTGACAAACCTCTGACCTGACATGAACCCCGAAGTTGTAATTCCAAAATCTTAGACAGAATTGCCCCAAACCTACAGCTATGTTTTCCTGCAACACTTGTTAGCACTCGACGAATTCAGTCGTGCAGAAGTACACATCTACAAGCTACTGATGTGAATGAGAAGCTTTTAGAGATGGTAAAGAACATGGATAAGATGTTTCTGGCACCTTCTGGTCTCCAACATTTGTGTCCGCACACGCAGTGAGTCCAAGCATCTCAATTAGGGCTTTCACGCGCTCCCGTTTATCCTTAAATTTCATGGATCCTGGAAGCCTGAGCCGCGCGCTGAACATGAGAGTCTCTCGTGTTGTTAAGTACGGATGCAAAGCATCGTCCTGTGAGAATCGAACACAAGTGTTCAGTATTTAAGGCAGAAAACTTTTTCTTTTCAATCAGCGTTTGAGATTTTCCAAATCTCTACGAGATGTCGATACCCACAAGAATTGGATGTGTGCGAGCCATACCTGCATAGCGTATCCAGAGATGCGCTTGAATGCCGAAGTCATGGGCATCCCATTGACAAGAATCTGTCCTTGAAGGCTGTGGCGGTCAATGCGCCCTGCCAGAGCGTCGAGAAAGGTAGTCTTGGAGGAACCAGAGGGTCCGGCAATGGCCAGCACTTCACTAGGACTTGCTTTAGCTGATACTCTATTGAGCAGGATCCTCTCTCCAGTTACTCCTTTTCCCGTTTTCGTCACAACCTACACAAATTGCCGTCCATATAAGACCAGAAAAACAGCTTCATACTGGAGCGTGAGTTTATTCCTGATTGCTGTTGTCCTTCCTTCTTTCCTGCCTGTCTTCCTTCCTTCCTTCCCTCCCGCAACAGATTGGTGTAGAGGAAATGGAGGCGTACCTTGTAGGTGAGATCGTGAATGGAGAGCTCGTACAAGGCATTCCGATCCGGCGTTGGTGCATGTGCAAGTGGAGATGTGATGAAATTGTAAATCGGGGAAGCTGGGGCCCTACTCGGTGTGGTAAATCCTGCAGCTTCTGTACCACCTCCTCGCGTTCTCCCAGAGGTGCTCATCTCGAAGCTGGAAGCCATCTCTAATCCCCGAAATCTCAACCACCTACAACCTCCGACAAGGGCAGCACACAATTAAGCCTGTTGCTCGCGACCGTCATGTAGATGTAACATCCAAGGAAAGAACTGAATGTCTATGTTCACCCCCCTGTTCACAGTGTTGACAAAGAGAGAGGAGATTGCTACACTGGGGAGGGATTAAACTGCACCTAGCATCGTGACCTTGGATCCAACTTCGTGTCAACAGTGTTCTTGCAGTGGTGCACTGCTGCAGCTCAACTTCCCAGCATATCCTAGCAACCCCGGTGACTTTGGACACCCTTTCTTTGCCAGGATGTACAAGAACCGGACCTGTTCATGCGAGAAAGGATCGTGTATACCGGTGCCCACGAACACGAGGCTGTTTGTGGGTGCGATCAACCGCCAACGTTGCAGATTTGGTTGCACGATCACATCTAAGAGACGGGGAGAATTTTCTTTATATATATATATATATATATATATATATATATATTGTAAGAAATAATCTTAGAGAAGCGCGTCGTGGCCACCTACTAACTTATTCAACTTTTTCCTCTTGAATTCAACCGGCATGAAGGCTGACCCACAGAGGTCGAGTTACTCCGCCTGCATGGTCGATGGAGAATTGGACGACACCGTACCATCGGAATGCATGCAACGCTCTGCAAAGGCTACAAATACGACAATGCTCAATCAACCGAAGAAATCGGAAAAGCTAGTGGTTGTGACTAATGACCCCACTCCAGACACAAACACACCCACATAACTGCAGCTTTCCTCACTAGGTCTCGCCTTTTTGCAGGGGCATCGTTCAAGAGTTGACCGCAGGGATCAGATATCTTCTGCCACGAGCCACTCTCGAGTGACGCAATCAAGGCTACTCCGATGCCCCGTTTTCAAACCGATCTCGTAACTAGATTAACTCACTTGTTTGATTCCTTCACACACCCCAACCATCGATGCTAGTGTCAACAATCTCACTTATCAAGCTCTTTTCAAGTCCCGTTTGCGACGGTATCGAGCTCTGCAAAGTCTAGAATAAAGTGCAAACACGCTACAAACAAACCTCAACGACAAGGAGCCAAGTTATCACCATGAGCTTTTGACAAACACAGAACGTGCATATTTTACCTCCCCGGCAAGCTTGTGAAACCTCCGAGCAAGAATCAGCTCTCCTGTAGCTCTGTCCATGAATTGTTGTTGTTGTTGTTGTTATGATTGTTCTTATATCTTTCGGCTCTTGCTGTTTTGTTTTTGCTTTTACTGGTGTGAATTGAGTGAAGCATGGCACAGTACTCCAACCACATACGGGCCAGTCTTTCAACGTCAAGACTAATCGGACACAGAATGCCTTAATCTTCATGTGGTTAGTTAGCTCAAAGACCTCTGGAGTCCAAACGGTCCACATTAGGCACTTTGTGGCAGGTGCTGACCTGAAGATGAGGTCATATTTCACTGATTTTTTGATGTTTTAAGGATAGATTTTTGTAAAGATACAAACAAATATGTTTGTGTGTGTGTGTGAGGCTTGTAATGTTGATGGAGTTGTATTAAGTTGTATTAAGTGTTACTGAAGAGGTTTGTGTTTTGTCTCTTGTCTTGTTTTATGATGTGGGTGTGAATGTGCAACAAAACTGTGGACCATCAATGAGGCCAATCAGTACACGTTTTTAACAAAAAGCCTAATGTTTGATCAGGATTGCCAAGGACGTAGCCCATTCGTTTACCTGAACTTCTGTCAATTGTAGTCGGTTTTCCAGTGTTCAGGTTTTTTATAACATAAAAAATATTCGAGCTTTCTATAGGATTCTTGGTCTAGTATACTTAAATTTACAGCTCATGGTCTTTTGTATGCAAAAAAAAAAGGTGACTAAAACCAAAAACATTCTCATCATTATTGAGCATGAGCAAAAGAAAAGTCTACTTTTTTTCTTGAATTTTTATGTTCCTATTTGTAGCGTTGTGTCCGGTTTCTTTATAGAATTTTAATCAGTCTTATTTCTACCAAAGCTTGTTCTCATAGTTATGAGCTGGGCAAATGATAGCACAGCACAAAAAGGTACAGTTACTTTAAGTGGATAATGCCACATTTCTGTAAAACCCACCTAGAAAAGAATGTAAACTGTGTGTATGTTGTAATCAAATACTCCTCATGAAGAAAAAGAAATAAAAGAAAAAAGGGAAGGAACTAGTATGCAACAAACCAGACAATTGTTTTAATATCATAAACCTACTCAGATTTCAGAAATTTAAAGGTTTTTCATGGATTACATTCTTGGATTTTTATGAAAAATAAATATATTACTGCGTTGTTTTCATGGGTGGCATGAAACCCTTAGTGGAAGTTAATGCGTAGTACCATGGGGTGGGTTTAATAAATAAGAGGCAAGGGAAGCTCTCAGACTCTGATGGGCCATCAATGCATGAAGTAGTTCGGTGTGAACATGCTAACAACTCCATGTGTCCTCATGTTCCAGGTTCTGACTCCCCAACAATGAGTCCCAATAAATATAGTAGTATTGTGCATGTAAGTATACGCATTTTTTTTATTTAATTATACTTATTTAATTATGGTATTCTCCCTGTTGAGGTTTAAATGGACGTAACTATAATACCCAGATCTTAGAGAATCAATCTAAAACAATATTATTAATCATTGGCATTCTTATTGAAGAATCTTTCGATGACCATGATTCTTTACAAATATTTTATTTTGGTTTATTTTTAGAAAATTGAGAGTTTCCAACTACTAGTGAACTTTTTTATTCTTTTATTTTAATCAGATGATTCCAGGATACCTGAGCCTGATATTTGCGGTAGTGTATTGAATTTATGGGTTGGTATGAGGAATTGTACCATTTGAGGAAAATGCATTTGTCAGTCCTCTGTAGAATTGTGCTTTTTTGAAGTCAAGGACATACAAATGAGTACTTTGCAGTATTGTTTTTTTTTTAAATTTTCCCTTTGAGTCAATATTGAGGAATTATGGAGGAGTTGGGTGAATGGTGGATTTGTCATCGGAACCTGCACGGCTTGCAATTTGTCCTTTTTCCACTGAAACTAAAGGATCCGTTTTGATGAATGAATCAATGAGTAAAGACCATGTTTGTTACAACAGCATGAAAGTTGGATAAAATAAGGAAAAAAATCACTAGATTGGTAGACTTTGTTCAAATGTATTACGCCATGAACATTCTGTTCTTAAGCTACTACCCTTGAGTGGATATAGAGAGACTGATCAATGAATAAAATTACAAACGTAGTTGTGAACAAGTAAATTTAGAGGTACTCTATTGTATGATTAGATTGAACACTTGAGTGACATTGATCAAGTGAAAATGATATTTATTTCCTTGTTACAGTGGTACAATATGACTATGCAATAGTACTAAGATGCTGTATGGATTACATGACTTATATTTAATATGTTTGTATTAACAACAATCAAAAAGTGTTTTTAGAAAATAGTGTATAAGTTTAAAAAGTATAACTTCACGAAATTACATTGATAAGATTCAATATACTTTGAAGTCCAAGTATTGTTGAAATTCTAAGTAATGCAATGCTTTGAGAGCTTGTGATATTGTAAGAAGATGTGATATTGTAAGAAGCTTGTGGTAGAGTCAATTCTAAATAAATTATTGTCCTTAACAAATGATAACAAATCATCATTTTGTAATTATATGTGAAAGAAAAAAAAATTAAGAATATGAAATTTTCAATTTTTACTTTCTTGGGATTAAGAAAATTTTGAATGCCATGAACTAGTACTGTATTTTCTCAACTCTATCCTAGCCTAGTCTTGTATAAGTTACTCCCTGCAATGAAGTAATTCATTTGTGCCAAAAAAAAAAAAAAAAAAAAAAAAACAAGTACTGTATTTGCAATGTTAAGGTGCAGAAGTAACTTAAGGAGGCTCACAACAAACCTTGACGTGTTTACAAAAGACTGCCAAATGTTATTTAATGCAAGAATTAAACATCTACATACTTTTAACAATTGTCAGATTTGTGAAGAAGTTATATTTGATTACAAATACCAAGACAGTGGTAATAACTGCTAACAACTAAAGATATCTGGATTCAACACCATACGAAAACTTTTAAAGCAACCCAAAGTTTTTAGAAATAGTTGAGATGTTTTTTTTTTTTTTTTTTTTTTTTTTTTCCTTCTTTCCTTTTTTCCTTTTTTTTTCCTCCGTTGTTTCATAAGATTCTTTATTCTTTATTCTTATTCTTATTTTTTATTTTAAATATATTTTCTTCTGAGATTATTGGCACGAACTGTGGAGTTGAGCATTCGTTTCATTACAAACAAAAGTCACCAGTCCCACTTTACTGTGACACCAAACCCATCTTCAGTGTTTTTATAATAATAATAATAATTTAATAGATACTTTGATGCGTTGTGTTGGTGGTATCAGGAAGCTGCCGAGGCTCCAGAATGACACCTGGGTCGTCCTGCCAAGGGGCAGCAAATCTGCTGCTTCGCTTAAGTGTGAATAATTTATGCCTCTTCGTCGTTGAGATGCACACTTGAACCTCGAGTGATCAGCCGTTTGGTGCGTTAGAATTGTGAAGTCTAATCATCACAGCTGGACATGATTCAATGCACCCCCACCCAGTGACTGTAAATTTATCCATGACGACGAGAACGCCCCTTCAATGGCTCTGGCCGCTTGATCATATCTTCTGCTGTTGAAGGCTCAGGTGAGACCTGCAGACAGCTTGCTCAGCACTGAGATTGACATGAGTCGCTACACCTCACTTGAGAAGGTGAGAGCCTTTGAGTAAGTAAATGAGGGTGTGCACAGTAGAAGGCTAGAGTTGGATCGTGCTCAGGTAAGCCTAAGCTTAAGTGATGGAAGTCTACTTGTCATATCTCACTCTTTCTTACTCTGTGAGTGAGTGAGTGAGTGAGTGTGAGGGTGTGTGTGTGTGTGTGCGTAAGTGATGCTTTTTAGTACAGTGATGGAGTCAAGATCATTGTCACATGAGCTCATGATTCTCCTCTTGGCTTTTCTAGTAGTTGCTGCGCTTGTGATCGAGCTCCACTGACAGGTCTAATACACGGCCAGCCTCGCACTTGCTTTTCCAGTCAGCCATCCGACTGTGATATCCTCTGTGAGTTGTAGTCGCACAGTTTTCGCAGAGTTCGCAACCCAGACAAGGACGCCTTTTGCAGCCAGGGGTCTTGCAATGCATTGGAGTGAGAAACAGGGAGAACTGTTGTTGTGGGTGTCATTGTTGAGGTGTTTCATGGTGTGACTATGCCTTGAGTGATATGCGAATTCAACAGTGAGCTTGAGATGGGAGACATGTACGAGATTTCGAATGAAGTCACCAGACAACGGCCCGTTTTGCTTGGCCTTCGCAGCTTTCCTCCAGCGGGCATGGCCGGGTCTCCCTCTCCTGCTTACCAGGCCCGCCTCAGTCTCTTAAACTCCGCTGTTGTGTTCCCTCCTACTCCAGCTAGGGCTGTTCTCTATGACATATCTGTGCACAACCTAAGTTATAAGGTGAGAGTGCTCGCTTCTCCGACTTTCCCTTCATGAAGAAGAGGAACTTCAGTTGTTTTCCAGCTTCTTAGTTCACTGCAGTCTCTATGTTTGCTGAAGTTTTAATCAGGAACGTGGAGATTGGACGTCATTATTGGTATGGTTGTTCATGTAGGTAATTTCAAAGGACAACAACGAGAGAATATTGCTGAACAATGTCTCCGCTCGTGCGAACCATAGTGAAGTGCTGGCAATTGCGGGGCCTTCTGGGTCATCGAAAACCACCTTTCTTGACGCTCTGGCAGGGCAGATTCAGCGTAAGAGTTTGAAGGGTCAAATTCTAGTTAATGGCAGGACGATGGATTCAAACTTCAGACGCGTGTCAGCGTATGTCACTCAGGTATGTGTTCGACAAGAGGACAACTCTAAGGTAGCGCGCAGTTACAGTCGATCAGCCTTTTGTCATGTACGAGATATGGGAATGTTCGCTTGTTGAAAAAAAGTTGCAATTCCACTACAGGATGATGCGTTGTATCCAACCTTGACCACGCGGGAGACGCTCATGTTCAGTGCGCGGTTGCGACTTCCAAGCAGCATGACGATAGAAGAGAAACGCAAACGTACAGAATTTCTAATTGAGATGCTTGGTCTCAAAGAATGTGCTGACACGTACGTCGGTGATGAGAAGGTAAATACACATACAGTATTAAACTACGAATCTCAGCTTAAATGGCCTATACCAAAAAAAAAAAAACTTTCAGTACTGGGAGGCAGTCAGAAAATTCACATCAATCTCGACTCTTGGCTTTATTTCGGCTGAGAGTCGATCTACATTGATGAATCGTACTCTGGCTATCTATACCAGAAAATCATGATAATTTAATCTGTTGATCGTGACAGATGAGGGGTGTTTCGGGTGGAGAGAGACGCCGAGTCTCTATTGGAGTTGATCTCGTACACGACCCAGCAGTTTTGTTTCTTGATGAACCCACGTCAGGCCTAGACAGCACATCTGCTCTTCATGTTATGCAAATTTTGTCTCAAATGGCGATAAAACGCAACCGCACTGTAATCGTGACTATCCATCAGCCCAGTTACCGAATCCTCGATACAATCAATAACTTCTTAGTGATGTCCAGAGGGAACGTTATCTACCACGGCGACGTCCCACAGATGGAGGTTTACTTCAACAACCTCGGGTACACTATGCCAGAAAATGTGAGCAACCTCACTTCGTTAACCGCTTGCAAACCTCAACCTAGCGGTCACGATGTTAGCTATGTCGGGTACTAACACCTATGACGAACAGTCGCTTATTTCAACATTCACTCATTACTGGCTTTACATTATTTTATAGATGAGCGTGGTGGAGTATGCTTTGGACATCATCGAGAAATGTCAAGACACACATGAAGGTCTTGCTTCCCTGGTTGATTGTCAGGTAACCCTCGTGTCTGGGTCAAGTTACTCATGGTGTCCAATCATTTGTTTTGAGCTTTCGCCATTCCAGCATTGATTTTCTTACAGTTCCATCTGTTTCTGATCTATTAAGGTGAAGTACCAACAGTCAAAAGAGGCCCTGATGCCACTGCCACTTGGAAGCCCAACCAATGTTCCCCAAGCAATCGACACTTCCACCCCCGCTTTTGCTACTTCAATCCTCTCAGAAATGTGGGTCCTGGGAGTCAGGTTTTTTCTCACGACGTTCCGCTCGAGGCTACTATTTTGGACACGAGTCAGCCTTTCGGTGAGTCTTACCACCACTTCATTCCAATTTCAGTCAAGCAATTTTGAGCTCTACCTTAATCAGGGTTTAGCCTCAGATTGAGCTCTGGTTGCATTCAACACCCCCAAACCTTGACATTCGGTGTATCATTCAATGTGTAGATTGTGGCGGCCTTGATAATGGGGAGCCTCTTCTTCAACTCTGGCTATGACTACACGGGCATCCTCCAACGCACAGGGTTCTTCAACTTCATGCTTGTCACTCTTATCTTCAGTTCCAACGAAGGCCTACCCATCTTCCTGAGAGAGCGTCACATCTACATCCGTGAATCCTCACGTGGCGCATACAGGACGTTCTCATTTGTGCTAGCCCAAGCAATTGTCATGCTGCCCTTCCAGTTGCTGATAGCTGTAATCTTCTCGTCGATTTCTTACTTTATGGTCGGGCTTGTCGCAAAAGCAAGCGCATTCTTCACCTTCGTCCTCATTTCCTTCCTCTCCCTCAGCGTGGCCAACTCCTTTGTCACTTTTGTTGCTAGCGTGATGCCGGACGAGAGCGGTGGGCAGACTATTGTCCTGGCCGTATCTGCAATGTACTACTTGTTCTCGGGCTTCTTCGTGCCAAGGTGAGTTACTAAATCAACCCGATCTCCCATGTACAACCATTTTTCCAGGAAATTTTGCTGGCTAATTTGGAATATCAATCAATGCAATAACCTCAAGGACATCTCTTAACACAGATCTGGCATCCCGATGTACTGGATATGGTTCCACTACCTCTCCACATTCAAATACCCTTTCGAACTGCTTCTTGCAAATGAATACGGCCATCTACGGGAGGTGATGTGGTTCTTCGGAGTGGACTCAAAGACGGTGCTGAACTATTTCGACACTGGCAAAGTGCTAGGCCGTCAGTGGATCAACTATACGGTCATGGTGTCCTTCATTGTAGGCTACCGAGTGCTCTTCTACTTCTCCCTGAGGTTCTTCACCAAAAACCTCCGAAAGTAGCCAACCAATCTAGCAGCAGAGGGTGGCACTTGTAATTGGCAAACCATCACATTACCCAAGCATAAACCATCAACTTTATCTCCGCATTCACTGTAATTAATTGATTCCAGTTTGTGATTAGGCATCCACCCATCTCCAATTGTTTTGTATGGCAATCGTGATCTGTTTTTTTGCTGTTGACACGCCCATCGATCCACTGATGAATAATCAGATAACAATGTTGACAGAAGCGTAGTGGTGTCGAAGCACTGCTCAAAGGCCTGAGAGCTCCAGAGCTCATCAATGCTGACATAGACTCTGTGTTTCGGTGTTCGATTGAGGTTGAGCCACTGGAAGCAGATTGCCTGGCATGAGAGGTAGCGATGGTGAGCATTTAATTCGCGTGATGCCGTTGCGTTGCAGGAACTGGGGCACTTTGCAAAAGCCTGCGAAAGTCTGCAAGGCTCTGAGTTCATGAGTTGCCCACAAAACGGCTTCTGATTCAACACAAACTGGACACCAAATGTGCAGATGATGTAATGAATTCTCACGTATGATGTATAGATGATGATAATGGTTCGAATTACTAGTTTTTCAAATATTCTAGATAAGTATGATCACTACAACTTTTATCTTGTATCAACATGTTTTTCATTTGTTTTTTATAAAATTCAATTCAATTGTATGTATGTGTGTAAAGGTTTTTGAGAAGTGCAATAAGAATTTGTTGCAGTGAGTGGTGTTGAAGTAAACAGAGTATCTGAAGAGCAACTGTCCTTGCTTTGGGGCTGGGTCAAGAGCTAGACAAAAATTGTTTAGAAATAAATATATATATATATATATATATATATATTACTTATCTATCCAATTTACATTTCATGTATATAGTATTAAAAAAGCTTTCATCAAGATCTTTTTGATATGATAATATCTTCCAATCTTCTTTACAATCTCTCTATGTCTCTCTCATTTGTGAGTTGATTATATTGTTATTGTATAGTATTGTCTTATATATTTCTATTCACCTTCTCTCTCTTCTAGCTCTAGTAATGTAATAACATTATACATATTTTTTTTTATTTTTTATTTTTTATTTTTTTATGTAAGTTATTATCTTGTATAATTAAAAAAATTAATCTCTTGCTAAATCTTGATCTATTTCTAAAGATAAATTAATAGTTTTATTTACTCTAAAATTTCTAATATCCTCTCTTTTCACTTTATTTTTTTTATTTACAAAGTTGATATGACAATCTTAAATAGAATTGATGTAGCTACAACCATGCCAAATTTGTTGCAAAAATAATAGACAACATTTTTCTAAAGTAATTCTTCTTAAATAGTACTCCTAGCACTTGTTATCTATTTTTAAATATTATTTTTATAAAATATATGACTGATATATTTAGAAAAATATTAATTTTATCCACTTCAACCAAAGACAGTTTTTGTCTTTACTAAAACATCTATCAATTTTTTTTAAAGATTTGGCATCCTCAAAATCTTCTCTTCTTATTATATCTCTCTTATCAATCATTTTTCATAATTCAACAAATTCTCTTCAATATAATCACCAATCTTGTCTACTCTTCTTCCAAGCTGCTCTATTATAACTCTCTCTAAGAATTCTATTATCTACCCCTCTCACTCCTTGCAAAATTTCCACATCTTTCAAGATTGATGAGAGAGTGCACATCACTAAGCAATGCTTAAGCAATAGAGACAAGTGAATCAATTTAAGTTTGAAGTAGATTAATATTATATTCCCTTAGATTTAATTACATATAAATAAATAAAAATTAGACTTAAAGATTTATTAAATGAGTTTTAAATTATTCAAAAAGTATTTTAATTAATAATATGCTCAAATAATATCTTTTATTAAATTTTAAAAAAAATATGTCAAATATGACATTATTAATTGAAGCTACTATTAGTTATTTATTTTAAAAAATATAATGATAGTTGAATTAAGATACATCTAACAAAAATATTATATTTAATAGTAAAAATATAATATATTATATATATAAATTTAAATAAAATATAATATAAAAAATATAAATCTAAAAACTATTAAATTACTCAATAATTCATTTGTCATTATTTGGTTTTGAAATCAAATTTCAATATGTATACATTATCAATTTATAAAGTAAAACCTCTATAAAATTGATTATAAATTAAATAGATAGACAAATAAATAAATGGATAAATAAACCTTTGACCAAAATCATATGTAATATAAATTGCATTGAACTGATTCCTTAAACATTTCAAAGAAAGAATTAGTCTTATTTCTTAATCTTGAAAGTGTTAGTTCTTGTTATACAAATGACAAGTTTTTGCTGCAGTACTAAGTTTGAACTCTTTTTTACATCTACTTACAAAACCACCAAAAGAACAAACGCATTGGTATGCAACTCTTGAAATTCAATCTTTCGATATTCACATCTCATTGTTTTGAGTGAAATCAAAGTCTACATCCAAATACTTGTGCAACAACATTTCTAAAGGACAGTGTATTCGAAGCAGATGAAAATTGACTTATTAATGGTATCTTTGCTTGATCGATGCTTACGAGATCTACCTCAAAACGACACAAATAAACATTTCAAAAACACAGTATAAATCTTGAATTGACCACTTCGTTGGTTGCAGGATTTCACCGCATTGCAGAGGCAGTGAGATGCTCCATCGTTGCTCATCTATGTCTTGCGAGCCAGCTGCTCGAACAGAAGCCAACATGAAGAAAGTGAGCTTTGACGGTGATGCGATGTGAATCCTAGAACTGCCGCTCGAAGAAGAAGAAGAAGAAGTAACTTGGGAATGTTGGATATCGCTGGATTTGATTGCTAATGCCCACGCGACTGGCAGAGAGCTATTCTCATCATCTCAGTTTTGACCACTGCATCGTAGATCCCTCGAATATCCGTTAATGCTGTGCGGTGAACAAGTGCAGGCGGCAGTCCAATCCGGCAACACATGCCGTTGTCGTTGTTGTTGCTGCGGAGTAGGAGAGGTCCGGGTCGCTAATTCGTCGACCTGATCTCGTTCCATTTTGCTCCCGCTACTCAAAGGCCCTCAGCCAATGCTTTCAAGCCGACGTGGGGCCTCCAAACCAGTGTTGCTTTCCTTCATTGAGAACAGCCCACATTGAGAATGAAAATCTGTGATGCGTAGCGTCGGGCGAGCTTTCTTGTGATATTGATGTTAAGAGCTTTGCGTATTCTGCAAACGGCGACGCTCTGCAGGACAGAATTCGTTGGAATGAGTCGTGAAAGAGAGTACGTGTGAAGTTTGCAGTAAAAAGGCCGCCCTTCGTATGCATGTCGATCAGTTAGAGTCAACTGCCTAGTCTTCATCGACCAACATCGCAGTTCGTGCATGCACCATCGAATAAGTTCTTTCTGAATTGGGGAGTAGATGTTCGGAGACTGAAGGACGCAGATTCGACAGTTACCATGTTCGAGACGGCACACCCATGTCCAACACATGGACAACTAAGCCAGATCTCCACAAAGGATTGCGATTCTTCAGCAACCTCAGTGAAACCAGTGTCACCGAAACCTGGTTTCAGAAACATGCTTTGGGATCTGTCAGTTACTAGAGCAGCAGAATCACATGAGATTTCAGAACTGGATGATGAGCATTCTGAAACTGCAGAGCCCATAAGAGAAATAAAACTAGTGAGTGAATGATTTTCTATTCTATTATTATTATTTAGGGCTGGATACGATAAATTCAAATAAAAAAATGTAGATTTTGAAGATAAAAGTAGGATTTTGTCGAATGTTGAGATATTTAATTGTTCATGAGTTCATTTTTGTGCTGTATTCTTACAGTATAAAATCTATCATTTTTTATTTCAAAATATAAAAATAAACCAAATTTCTTCAATTTTTTAAAAATCTAGTTTGTGTTGGCTTTTATTTTTTTAATGAAAACTAATTTGAATTTTTATTAATCTAATTAATCTATTGTGTTATACATTGCTAAAATTATTTATAGAAAAATAAATTCTGTAAAAAAATTTAGTAGATATTAAATTATGTGTAGATAATAATAAAGAATTGCATTCTAGTATTTCATTTAGTGTTTGCAACATTTTTCATGTTCTTTCAGAAATAAAAAGTTTGATTAAAGATTTGGATTAAAAATAATCAGGTGCTATAGTTAGAACGTAATACTTGGATAAGAATTAAAATTTTGATTCAACATTGTTATGCAATAAATTATTCATTAATAAAATAAACTTGCTGCATAGAATATGAGAGAAATTATTAGATTGTATGGCTTGTATTAGATTTTCATCACCAGTAGGTAGCTAACAATAAAATATATTCTACGTATATTATTTTATTAATGATTTTATTTCATTGTTAGATATACTTGTTTGTAAATAAATGAGGTGTTCAACATTATATATATATATATATATATATATATATCATAACATGAAATAAATAAATTAATAAGTGACAACTCATGTCATTAAAAGAATGTGTATGTTTTATTATTTTGAATCTCAATCGACTTTAGAATTTTCTTCCAGAATTGAACTTCTAGAACTTCTACATCTCATATAATATTTTCTCATACTTTTTTAGTATTTTGTACTGTGTTGCAAGTCTAACATAAATAAATAAATAAATAAATAAATAAATAAGTGGGTACTCATCCATCAAGAACCGCCGCTTACATTGAATTTATTGTGGAATCTAAATAAATAAATATTAAATGTATTATTTGAAAGGTTACAAGGTTGCATAAACCAATCAAATGCAAGAGTGCCATGTCATCACTTTGGACACATGTCTTTGGTATTTGGCCTGAATGCCCCCAAAAGCTTCGAGAGTGCCATGTCATCCGTTTATCCTCAATCTTTGTGACACGTGGCATGCCAAGTAGTGGCTGCCTCACAAAGGTTAATCCTACGTGGGTTTCTCTCATTGGCGTCCCAAATTTGCTCTTACCCCCCCCAACTGGACCCCATAATCATCCACGAGTTGTGCTTTCTGACTGAGTTCATTCATCCAATGAGGATGAGGATGAGGAGGAGGAAACACGTGGTGGATAGTTTGTTATTTTATTTTTTATTTTATTTTTTGTTTTTCTCTTCTACCAGAAAATGTAGCACATGTAAAAAGGGAAGTATTGAGGAGAAATCATGCTCATCTTTTACCAATCCACAAGAATATGCTCTTTCCTCTCTTTTCAAGTTTCAATCTTATACCCAAATAAAAAATAAATAAGATAAGAATAAAGAAAATTGATGTCACTTTGAAGTACTATTATTGTTGATGAGACTTTGAGATTTGGTTCCTATGTGTGTGTGTGTGTGAGAGAGAGAGTAAAACAAAGAAAAAATGAGAAAATAAAAAAAAGAGAACTTAATGTGAAGTAAAGAAAATGCTAGTCTCTATGTTTGGTATTATTCGGATTTAAATAATTGTGAACAAATATAATGTGTGGAAGGTAAACACAATTTATTTATTGTTGAGGCTTTTTATTGATCATACATGTCGTTTGTATATAATTGTATTAACATTAATAAATGGAGAAGAGGATATCTTTAATGCCATGTTGATTTTTATCACATAAATGAAGTATTTCTCTCTCTCTCTCTCTCTCTCTCTCTCTCTATATATATATATATATATATATTTGTTTGTTTTGGTTTATATATTTTTTCTATCAATTGCACCTACAAAAGCTTTTGATTTATTGTGAAATCAATTTGGAAGTTTGGAAATTAGGGTTGACAAGTTGAATTCTTCCATACTCTTTGTACACATATTATTCAATTGTGGCACATCGTATAGCATACTCCAAAGTTGCATCTTTTGGAGTGTTTTATTTAAATTATACATACATACAATACAAATTTACATACATACAAACACAAACGAAATGTATAAAAAAAAGAAGAAAAAAAGGTTGTTAAAACTTTGTCAAAGTTTGTAATGTGTTGCTTTAACTGCAAACTAATCTCAACCACATCCCTTGCAGCCAATAACACGACCTCATTCACAAATTAGCAAACATGACAAACCATAACAATACTATATTAAGTTCAACGAAATGGAATAGAAAACCTCACCGTATATTTCAACACACGCGCTTTGAAATCGTCTTATCATTCCAACCCCCAAAACCCATTTTTATCTTAATCTGGAATTCTTCAAGAATTAAAAAAAAAAAAAAAAAAAAAAATCAAGAGAAAATGCTCGCAGCATGGATGAAATTAAACGAACGACTTACATCCATATAGACGGATGAAAACGACAAAAGAGGTCTCCGCCGCGACGCATGCACAAGAGCAAGTGCAAGCACAAGAGCAAGCGCAAGCAGAAGCACAAGAGCGACACGCGGAGCAGCGAGGGAGGGGAGGGAGTGTGATTTTTGCGCTCTGTTTTAATCGGCATCGCGAGAGGAGGAGGAGGCGGGTAAAATTGGGTTGAAGGCGTTGAAGGAAATCAAGCAGCGACGGGGCCGGTGACTTTGGTTCGGCGACGGGGTGATGGTGCCACCTCTGCCTTGAGTGCGCAGACGACGAAGAGGAGGAGGCTTTTGTGTCGCCCATTGGCCATGGTGACCCAGTTTTTCCTGAGCAGTGAAGATTCGGGGAGCATGATCCTCCACAGATGACATATCCCTTCTAGATGCCCTCAAAATTCCCTTCTCACCCAGTTTCTGGATTGCCAGCTATCTCATCCTCGCCGTGCGCCTGTGCCTCGACAGCATTCCTCCAAGTTTCAAACTCTCTCCCCCTTCCAGTTGGTGCATAGCAGGTTTAAGCTGGTGACTGTTACCCAATACTCTCTCCTCCTCCTCCTCCTCCTTTCTCCCCCCAAGGCCTGCCAGAACCGCCAGCCTTGGAGCGTGCAGCTGACCGGAGGTTGTGTTTTTCGTGAATTGAACTGCATGTGCCCGGGGTTTGTGCTTGGCGATGGTTGACGGGGTTCGATTGCCAGCGGGTGCGTGATTAGGAACCGCAGAGGGAGAGGGAGAGGGAGAGGGAGACGAGAGGAAGGATGGTGTCTTTGCCTTGTGTTGTAGAATCTTGAGTTTGATCTATATTTTTCGTCGATGTTGAAGTGAGCATTCACGGAAGACGGAGAGCGCGAAGTTGGAGAGTGAGTTTTGGGGTAGAGATGTAGTTTTTGGCTGCGAAGGTAGTGTTGTTGTTCAAAATTGGCAACGTAGAGATTGCAAGTTTGGGTGACGGAGTTTGAGTGTGAGAGACAGAGGGTTGCATTGCAATTCATGAACTTTCATTGCAAAGGTGTATTAGGTGGTTATGTCTTACTTTTCTTTTAGTTTCTTTTTATTGTTTTTTTTTTATGATATATATATTTTAAAGTACTGCTCCAGTTAGCCTCCGTTTACTCGTTTGTTTAAGAGAAGCTCACAGTTCCTTCAATGAGAACTCTTTTCTTTTGAAAAAGGTTGGGAATACTGAGATTCTTGATGACTGCGAGTACTCTTTGACAATCTAAGGCCTTGGTCATTGGCTATGCCGGAATTCGATTAATTCTCTCGGTCGCCTGAGGTTCTTGAATGTGAGGGTTCCTACAATTAGTTCTCAGGATTGCTGGCAACTTCTGGAGCATAATCAGCATGAGAATTGGGAGAGTTTGTGCAACATTTGCTTTAGAGCTAATACTTGGCGATGCACATTGTTAGGGTTGATCTCCGTCTAGTTTCTTGTGAACAATGTGATCTTATGGTTTGCTTGTTGCGTTAGAACGAATGTCATTGGGATTTTTCATGCAAATTGTGAGGTCATTCTCCCAACGCATCTCGAATCCGATGACTAAATTTGTTCTCATTAGGAACAGTTTGGCTCCAGTAATTGTAAATTAGTTGCTTTTGTCTGCATGTGATATTATCGCTCAAAAAGGTTTGTTTGAACGTCGTTATAGCCATTCCGGAGTACTCATCGAACGAGGCTCGTGTAACTTGGAGTCACAATTCGGTCTCTAGATGGCTCTTAGAAATCTGAACTTTACTTCTTCTATGAAATGGCGTCCATGGTGTTTTTTAAGACTGGAAATTAATAATTTTAGGTTTTGCTTTGAATACAGATGATCCAAGGTGCCTTTGCGAGTAGATCATCGGGCACGGCAGAGTGTGGTGCGAATTGATTTGACGTAGCATTCTGGCACAGGCATTGACCACTATGGAGGTCTCATCAATGGGGATCCTTGCCCGAGAGCCATTACCACCATGCATGAGTGTGTTGTGTGGAGAGACCCTTGGTGGTGTTGCATCGAGATTGCGTGGTGGTGGCCATAGCATTCATCGCAAGGGTCAGGTGAAATCGCAAGGCATTAGAGGTGAGCATGTCGCCTGGGACGAAAGCTCGAGTAAAAATACATGGGGACTTCAAACACGAGTGCCCAATGAACCTCAGATGGTACCCCAAACTGGCAGCCGCCACATGCTTCACGCCCTTTCAACTGCCTCAGTGGTAAGGCCGGTCGAAGAAGCTCGAAGCCTTGATACGTGGAGGCTGGATGAAGAACTCAGGGAGCTCAAGAGTCTTAGGAAAAGCCTGCAATGTGCAGCGAGCTTCGAGGAGAAGATGAGCATTGTAGATCGGAATAGGCGAGTTCGGGCATTGTTCGGCGGATATGGACGATCAGGAATTTATGTTAACCCTGTAGTAGACTTAGCTATGCGGGTGTTAAATGGTAAAGACCTTTTCCTTTTGAAGTGTATGGTAGCGTCTGGGCAGGATCACGTACTGGATATCCCGCCAGACTTATTGGCTGCATTTTTTGATAGCCATGAGGCGGGCCATTCTCATGTTTCGCCAGTTTCGCACGAACAGCCATCAGGTAACCCGGTGAAGAGCGCTTTCTCGATGTTGGCTAATTTCATCAAGAGCTGGGACAAGTCTTCTGATGTTCCAGTTTTCATTTCACCCGGAGACTTGATACCCTTCATGACTGAATCGAAGCATTCTACGGACATGGAGCATGATAAGGCATTATCTGGTGGAAGTACTGCCGCCGTTGCAAGGTTCACAGAATCTATGAATTATTTGGTTCGCATTCTGGAGCGGATGGAGAAATTCTACGACAGCATCGGTGGTATTATTGGGTAACCTCTCTTCCTCCCGTGCATAAAACTCTCTCATAACTAGACCTGTAAGCCTTGAAGGCTTTGGGTTTCTGCCTGTTGCTCCAAAGTTTGCTGATCTCTTCCTTATCGTCACGATATGTATTGCAGCTAGTAGGTGCCAGTGGGTTCCAATTTATGTTGTCAAATGCCTCAAGCTAGTGTAGAGTTGTTATTTTCTGCAGATTTCTATCAGTCGAATAAATTTGCAGTGGGTGAATATTGAATTTTCAGTGTATTTGTTTTTAGATGTTGATGGTTTTGAGCCTAGTGATGTTCCTAGTTTTATCAGCAACGAAAGTGTTGGTCTGGAGTTGAATTGTACATATTTCACATGAAGGTTTCCAATTTTCAATCATTATCGAGAACATAACGTAATTGATTATATGTTACAATATCACAGATATCAAGTAGCGGCTCTTGAGCTTATAAAAGCCTCAGAACTAGAGGCGGATAAGTCGAATCCTCAGTGGACCAGGCGTGGAGCAGTAGGCGCAGGGCAGCTGAAGAAGAGGTTCTCTGTTCCTCATGGGCCTGACCTTGCCAAAGATCACAAGTATGCCAATCAAGCTGCAAGCTGGGGTCTTGAGGTACATCTCAATCTTAATTTCATGAGCTCGCGGCTTGTATTAGAAAATCAGTTTCGGACGTTTTATTTTTTTCTTTTGTTTGTAAGGAACATCTCTGATTTGTCTGGAATTTAGCTTTGATTAAATTTTGAACTCCTTTTACACAGGGACTCCCAGACATGGCTGAAATCTACCCCCTTGGTGGAGCGGGCGATCGCCTTGGATTGGTCGATGAAGTGACAGGGGAGTGCTTGCCTGTTGCCATGCTGCCTTATTGTGGACGCACGTTATTGGAGGGGCTGATTCGGGATCTGCAGGTATTTTTCTCTTCGGCAATGATAGCTTGCTTTTTTGAGAGTTATAACAAATTTGAATAGTCGGAATTTTTTTCTTATTTACATATCATGCATCGTATTGCTATCGCCGTTTGGATACTGCAGTCAACAAGAGCGTTAAGTATTTCAATGGCAATAAGTGGGCTAAGGACGGATTTGTAATTTTGTAAAGCTCTGAATCTATTGTTTTGAAACGTCATCAGGGCAGAGAATATTTACATTACAAGGTCCATGGAGTTCAAAGTATCACACCAATAGCCATTATGACAAGCTCTGCCAAGAAGAACAATGAACGTGTGCATGCATTGTGTGAGAACCTTGGATGGTTTGGACGGGGCAAACAAAATTTTCGATTGTTTGAACAGGTCAGTAAATCATAATTCAAAGCCTGATTTATCCGTGAAAGTGAGTTGTACATGATAACGCCTTGTTTCTAAGATGCTTACGTTTTCGTTGGAGCCACCTATACGTCGCGTCATACGTACAATTTTGTCCTTGTCTTTTACTATCTGACGTAAGTGGTCCTTTTTGTTCAGCCATTGGTACCGACAGTAGCAGCAGCTGATGCGCGTTGGATGGTCAGTGACCCTCTTACGGCAGTGCTCAAACCAGGAGGGCATGGTGTTATTTGGAAGTTGGCCAGTGATGAGGGTGTGTTCCAGTGGTTATCAGGACTTGGTCGGAAAGCAGCAATTGTTCGGCAAATTAGGTACGAGCTCTGACTCATAGTGATGAAAAGCAGTAGGTTGCATACTTGAAAGGATGACTATGGTTCCAAACTATCAGGCACAACGACATTTGATCTGCATTTTGCCTGCTATCTCAGTATTGCAATGGAGCCTCACGATAGATATATTCTAGAGGCTCCCAGGTTCCTTGACAAACAATGTTTGCCCGATTTTCTGAGCCTTACCATAGGAATGACTTTACCTCGTGGTTATCATTTGAATAATTTGCAATAGTTTTGCGTTTGGGCCGGTTAGCTTTCCCTTCTCTCTTGAAAAGAACGTTGCCAATAGTATACTAGGAGGTTGCATTCTGTATGGGTTGTGTTCTTAATGAGCTCTTCTATGGTGTGGCAGCAATCCTATGGCAGGCGTGGACACAACCTTATTAGCCTTGTCTGGTATCGGGCTAAAACATAACAAGGTGACTTTTGATCTGGCAGCCTTGTGCTAATCTAAGTACTCTCATACGTCATGTTAATTGTTTTTACATTACTGCAAATGAGATTGACTGTCTCTTTTCTTGCACTTTCTCTAGTACTTTATTCTGTTTGTTTATTTTCTAAACTACTTGTCAGGTGCGTCAAAATATTTTCAAGTCTCAACTTGAGATTCCCAGACCTATCCGGTCTCCGTATCTCAACTTATGTAAAAAAAAACTACTGTTTCAAACAGGAAAGTAATGTTGAAGTTCTAATTCTCCTCTCTTTTTTTGACATAGAAATTCGGATTCGCATCCTGCCGTCGAAATGTTGGGGCTGCGGAAGGCGTTAATGTTCTTACAGAACAGAGGAACGGGGATGGTTCATGGGAATACGCAATTACATGTATAGAATATACGGAGTTCAGCAAACTCGGGATTGCTGACGTGCCAGTTTCTTCTGGCAGGTTGAGCGTTGCTATCGCCTTCTCATAGATTCGGTGTTGTATGTAATGATGAATTCCGTAGGGCTATGTTATAAGTGTTTGTATTGAGGTGGAATATGGAAGAATAGGTTGAGATTGACAGCGTTTTTGAATGTGGAATCTTTATTTTTGTATTTCTCTAGAACAGCCAAGGTCATCTGTTCTCGTTTACTGAAAACGGTGTTTGGGTGGAAGCGCAGCTTGGAGGCACAGTATCCTGCCAATACCAATGTATTGTACGTAGATCTGGCAGCAGTGGAGCGTATTGCATCCAGTCGAACTGCAGCTTCTCTGCCCGGAATAATTATGAACTTGAAGAAGCCTACCGTCTTTTATGATCAACATGGCTTGAAACACAGGTCTACTTTCTGTACAGAACTCTCTAGTCATCATCAACAAGATAGATACATGTGTACTGACGCTTCGAACTGTAACATGTATTCTGACTAATCTGTCTACTCTTGTTTTGAGCAGTGTCCAGGGTGGTAGGATCGAGTGCACTATGCAGAATATTGCGGACTCGCTTGTAAATCGACGATCTTCTATCATTTCACCTGAAGAACACGGTCCACATCAGCACCATCTCTTTAGTTTCAAATGTTTAGTGCCGCCCTTATAAAATTATGTTGCTCAGACCCTGAATAAGTTGCGGAATTGAGTGTTTGACAGTTTAACATTATTGAGTATAAGCAATGACTGGAGACAATCATTAATTGCACTACAGTGCGGCATATGATTTCTGACAAGAAATTTTGAATTTGGACAGATGAATTGGATACTTACGTGATCTACAATGAGAGGCGAAAGGTGACCTCCTCTGCAAAGCGGCGAAGGAAACCTAATGATGCCTCATTGCACCAGGTTGGTTGCGAGTCGGATACTTCCCTTCTAACACATTTTCATCTTGAATTGAAATGGTTTGATGTTTCCCCTGATTTTGAACATTCTCGTTCGTTAGAACGAGAATTACCAGTCCGTTATTTGTTACCTCGTCCTAAATGCGCAAATTGAGCAGTTTAGGAACTGTTCTAATTCTTGCTTCACTTTCTTACTATTGTTTGGGTTTCTATTTAGATGACTCATTAAAGTGTTTTGTGTTTTGTAATTCAGACTCCAGATGGGTCATTTTTGGATGTGACAAGGAATGCATATGATTTGTTGAGATCGTGTGGGGTTGTCATGCCTGAGGTGAACGATCCTTCATTTAGATTCAGTAGATGTGGGGTTGATGTTTCTTTAATTGCTATTGGACTGCTGTATTGCTCCATCGTAATTTTATGTCTATTTGATGTTTGCAGAGATGTTACTAAGTATGTTTTGTTGGGTAAACAGATGTCAGGAAATCACTGCTACGTAGACACTGGGCCTCCATTCATCGCCTTGCTCCATCCAGCGTTGGGTCCTGTATGGGACGTCACTCGCCAGAAGGTATGTGCATGTGTGTTGATGCATTAATTGTTTACTGATTCGATTATCGAAATCGGAGGAGAATGCTGTTTGTAGAATAATCAGGACGCATCTCTTAAAGTGAATTGAAGCGGACATCAGACTTCAGTCTATGAGCAGTCTAGCAGTATCGGCCCGTTTATAGCAGCTGCTTGCTAGCATTTGACGAAAGTTTATTTGAAGAATTCTATGATAACGTTATCAGTTCAGAGGAATGGGCAGTGTGGCCAAATTGATCTTAGGCCTGCGCTGCCACATCTAATCCAACTAAGGGACATCAGCACTTTAGTTGAGTATTGAAGCTCCACTTATTGATCATTGTCTGCAGATAAAAGGTGGCTCAATTGCAGAGAGATCAGAGTTGCAGCTTGAGATCGCTGAATTCAGTTGGCGCGATGTGGAGGTCAGTCTTTTTTTTTATGTTCTCTTGTGGCTACTTGGTTGGACTTAAACACGGGTGGAATTCTTCTCAAAATTATTTGGTACGAATACAAATGTGGAAATAAGTTGCACACAACGAACTTGAAAGCACTGTCATAACTCGGTCATTTTCTCATGTTGTGACATGCTCGGATGCTGCGTGGTGTTCTGTGATGTTCATATACTCTTGAAAGTGCAATGCTCCTTACCCTTACCTGTCTTATGAATGTTGTGCTTATCTTTTTCTTGACAGTTGAGCGGCAGTCTCCTGGTCCAAGCCACCAATGCCATGGGTTCGGTTCAAGAGGGCATTGTACAGTACGGCATTGGGTGAGATTGTTGATACCTTGAAGACTCTTACGATGTTATTTTATTTTGGATTATCTTCTGTTTCGTTCCCCTTGGCCTCTATGTGAATAATGTCGTTTTTCTTTTGAACTTTTGTAATGACTTTAACGTTAAAATGTGGTCCTTGAATATTTGCTTCAGGTGTGGTCGCTGTCGGTTGCATGGTGTGCACATCCGAAACAAGGGTGTTGATTGGGATGGTAAGAGCAACGTTTACTGGCAGCATCAAGTGCACAGACATGAGGCTTTAGAGATTATCCTGCATGGCAATGCGGAATTTGAAGCCTTTGATGTTGTGCTGGAGGTGAGATGATTATTTCTATTGTCTTTTATTTATTAGAGACTAATGCAAAGCCTTTACTTTATCTCCTACAATAGCTCTGTGTATTAAGATAAAAACATGTATCAGCTCGTTGAAGTGCCTTTCTTCATTCGATGTGCAGGGTTCTCACAGGTTTGAGGTGCCAGATGGTCACTGTATGCGGGTGACTTCAGGGGCATCAGGTTCATTTCTAACTTTTTCTCTTCAATTTGTAGCTTATATATTGTACATTCCTTTGGTTTGGCTGTTTGTAATTGAAGAATTGACTTAAATTGTTTATGTGCTGGTAGTTATTGATTTTCTTCGTTTTGAGTCCGAGTTGAAGTGCTTTTGCTCTTACGTTGCATGTAATGTCAAATATAATTCCGTTTACAAGGTTTATACTTCTTTGGACTAGGCTATATTTCTCCAGTTGTTTTTTCTTAGGTTGTTGTAGCCTGTCTTTCTTTGCCTCAATCGTTTGGTCATGATGCAGGACTCTCGTATATGACGACACCCCTAGCAGGCGAGGCGGCAAATACAGGCACCTGGTTCTGGCAATATGAAGTGGATATTGTTGGACAGTTCGTCTTAAACATGGTAGAAAGTTGAGTTGGGTGCACCTATTTTCAAACAAATGTCTGCAATTCCGTTGAGTTGGTCATGGGACAGTTCTTTTGTGAATACTCACCAGTCGTCAGGCCTTATTTTTAGTCAATCACTGCATGGTGTGTAGTATACAAATCTTAGATCATATTGTTTATTTTATCTAGTGGGCATTGCACTATTTCACATAGGCAGAGGGCATTCAATCGATGCCCACTGACTAAGGGACTCTCCTCGAGTCCATAATGTAGAATGGCTAGTTGTAGAGATTGACATTTGGTACCTTCAGTCTCTCACTGAAGTGTAAAAAATTGGACCCAGAATTGTGGCCGATTGATGAGAATTTTGACTTGTTTTAAATCGTGTCCTTGGGTATCTGGCTCAAGTCTTGGTTATCAGCATCTTGTTGATATATGCGAAGTATGTGCCGATGTTTGGATTGTATCTTTCCTCTTCTGATGAGTTGACAAGAGTTCTGTTACGTAGCATCCATATCCTAGCCTCATTTCTATCTTCCACTTCCCAACCTGTTTCCATGGGGATTTAAAATCATGACTTATCCAAAACCCCCTCTCATTTGGAAGTTTTAATGTTCAGATATGATGACATATCTACCACTGATTAAGCACATGATCATGGCATAATCCTGGAATGAGAACTGCAATTATACCCCTCAAATGCACACCACGAGAGTTCTATCAGTGGAGGAAAGTCTATGTGACTGGGTATTAATGCCTTGCAGAAAGAAATTATACAACGTTTCCTAATATGTGGGGATACTTAGTGGCTACATAACAAAGCAACATGTATTAGTGAAGAAGTTATAGCCTATTTAAGTGTGAATTTGAATAGTGTGTATCATACTGTTTAAAATAACGTATTATTATTGTGTATTTTCAATTAGTGTGACACATACTAAAAATTGGGCACTCATGTCCTAGATGCACTTTACAATTAGTAGAATATGCACTAATTATGGATATTGGTGTAGCTTTGTAGAAATTTGATTTTTAATCTTAATCCATTAGAATTGATCAATAATGTTTTTAATATGAAAAACATTTAATTCATTGTTTTGGCTTTTAATTGTGAATTGTTACTTTTCAATATAGTTTTACTCAAAGCTGTCCATAACAATTTATTATAGAAAAATAAAAATAAAAATAAAAATAAAAAATATATTACATGTAGTACATTTTATAATTTCTTAGAAAACATTCTTAATATCATAGAAATAAAAGTGATCTTAGAATAATGTCCAAGACTTATGAAATTGTGGTAGAGTATAATACAAGTAAAAATAGCTTGCACTTATCTACATACATGTCACTGAAAGTTAATTTAATAAAGTAAAATGAAATACAACTCCAAAAAAAATTAATAAAATAGAAACAACAGATATTTTGAATTATACTGTAATTTTAAATATTTTAAAGAACATGACATGCTCTCAATATATTGAAACAAAAATATCTATTAATTTGTCACATACATAATATATGAATAAATGATAAATGTTTATGTTTTCTAAGAAAACTTACATTTTAATCTATTTAGACCTATAATTTTACCAAAAAATAGTTGAAAGGGAATATTATTAATAAGACAATTTATTTTTGAATAAAAAATAAGCATGAAGGAAAAAACATTGTTTTGATCCTTTGCTTCTAGAAATACAAATTTATTTTCATTGAAACATGTAAAAAATATTATAAAAATTTAAGATTTTATGTAATTATTTCTTTGGAAAACTTCAAAATAAAAAGGCAAAAATTTATATTTTAAATAAATAATATCAACTTAGATCTATACTTTAAAAGTAAAGAAAAGAAAAAATCATATTGCTATTACGTCTTAAAAATATTTTTTTTCCTTTTTATTTTCATTTATTTATTTCTAATTTTACATTAACACAGTGAAAAGATAATCATAATTGCTAATAAAAAAATAAATTTATATTTAAAAAAACATGTATATTTTCGGATTTTTTTTAAAGCATTCGATAGAATATTTTTATGGCTAAAGGAATATGGCTTTGTATTTTATAAAAGGCCTTAAAAGAAAAAAAATCCCCCAGAAAAGAAAATATAATTTTTTTACAATATCAGTTTCGTGAGGGAATATAAAGACAAGGGATAAAAAACCCTAAACCCTAAACCAGACAATACATATATACAAGAGTCAATTGCATAGTGAGGTAGCAATTTAAAACAAAAATTTAATTCTATTACAAACATTAAAACTACAAAATGCACAAAAATCAAAATTTAATCAATATATTAGTATTTCGTATAAAGAAGATATATATATTTTTTGCACAAGTAGCTATTAATATGAAGTATTGTAAAAGCTACCTAAAATGTATAATCTACATTAAAGGACATACGTATTTATGTAAATCAAGTTAAACTGTTATTTGGATATATCAATGTATACATAATTCTGAAAAATGAATCAAACAACCTCATTAATTTTCATTCTAATTTATTTGAAGACTTAAAAAATCTTTGTCATTTGAAACCAAAGTAATGTGCATGTAAAAGTTTTAAATACACATTATTATTACTTTTGAAAATCTCATTTGCAAAGGGATTCTTTGTAGAGCAACACTAGACAAATACATTGATTTGAATGTACTTAACATTATGAATTAAATATATTCCCCTAATCAACCTAAATCTTTCTTGGCTCAAGAAATATATATGGCTGACAAATCATATATTTATCTAACACATTCAAGAGTTGTATTGTCCAAAAAAAACCCAAAAAATCTTTAAATAACATTCATTATCAAAACAAAATACACAACACACATGACACCATTTTTTCTTCTAAAACTATCCATAAATTATTATTTTTATTATTATTATTACTATTATTTGTGCAACATAATTCCTATAAATCTTTGTAGGTTACATTCTTTAGACAATGGGATATATATATATATATATATATGTATGTATATGGATTTTCCAAAAAATGTAACTAAATTAAAAATTTACTCGTATTATTATTGGGGGAATGTTAAATAAATCCAAGTTTTTATGAAATCAACCCACCCATCCAAACCATTATGAAAAAAAGAGAAAATGATATCTAGATTCATTTCTCCACTATTGGATATGTAACCAATAAAAACCACCCACATTTATCATGATTACCATATTATTTATCAAGAGTGAATCTATTTAGTAAAAGCATGGATTTATTTAACATTTCCCTATTATTGTTATTATTATTATCACGATCATGAAAGGGGTGTCCCTGCCTTGGAAGATGCGAAGTCCTTAGTTTGAACCCAAGCCTTACAGCGAGCTCAGATAAATGTTGTGGTGATGGTGGCGGGGGGGATAGATAGTGGAGAGATTGTGAAGGGGATTAATTCCCCTGGCTGCTCTTCACCGCCAACTTTGGCACCTCTTCTCCCCTCCCCCCCAATATTTAGCGGCTCTTCTCCACCACCCTCCAGAAGATCCTCTATTATCTAAGTAAGGCTCGTCGTCCCCCACCTTCGATTTGTGTCTTGCTCGCATTCTCTTCCTTGCACGTTCTTGCTCACCCGATTCACGCTACACTTCTCAGTTATATGGGTTATTTTTTTTTTAAAGAATTTCATGCCTAGTGTCGATACTCTCTCAGTGATGCGGCTGATTTCTATCGGGATAATTGGGTTTCGTGGGTTGTGGGTCTCGAGTTTTGGGTTCTAGCTTTTTGTCCAGCTGCGTCTCTCCGAGCTCTTCATCTGCGAGAGTATTCGAGCTGTGATGCTTTTTTGTTGAAATAGATCCGGTGCAGCTAGAATGGTCAGGTGTCGATTTGTTCATTTTTAAGAGCACGGACATCGAGTTGGCGTTTGGTCTGCAGCCAGCAGCTACTTCCGTCTGTCACTGTTTTTTTCCGGATTCTTTTTAAAAGAATGCCGCACTGGCGAATGCTCTGCCTTGAAGCCTGCCCTATCAGGTTTCTTCTTTTGCCGTTTGTAAATTTCAGTTGCCATTCTTGCATGCTAGTCTGGTGCCGAGACGCGTTATGTTGTGGTGCCCAATGTGGGTATGACTTGTGCTTTTGTAGATTTGGGTTAAATTCGTTTCATGAGTACTTTTTGTCACTAGTAGGGTGTGAAGGGATGGATTGTATGGTGCATCAATGCCTATTAGGGTTGGCCTCTTATACTTTTGAAGTTCGTCTTCTCTTGTTCATGTACTAGTCTTGGTTAACCGAGTTCTATTCTGAAATGAACTGCATTAAACCTAGATTGAATTATAAAGCCTTCTATATATGCGATGAACTCACTTTTATTTCTCGCCTGTTGATTTGAAGATTTTTTGAACTTTAATAGATCTGATTGTGGGCGTTCTGATAGTGAGGTTCAGCTTTGCCCTTGTTCACTTAGAAGAGCGGATGAGATGAGTTCAGTGTTGTCAATAGGAAACATTATTTGTATTCAGCTGATTTTCCCGTACTAGAATAGAATTGCACAATGTGAGAGAGCAAAAAAGAAGAAGAAACTATTTTGTTTCTCATTTTTGCTCATATCTGCTTCGCTTTTGCACTTCTTATTTCAAACTAGCTCAGAACAGGCCGCCACATAAGTGAGTTGGTTAAAATGCCACTGACACTCTCAATTGCAAATTCTCAGGCGCTTGATATTGCCTCCATCGACATTATCATTGCTAAGGGGTTCATCATCACTGTTCCCATTACCGTCGCCATCGCGCTTTCGCGTACCTCCTCGTTTTCGTCTACGGTCATCCTTTGCGGCCTTTTCCTCCACATTTAACTTCACCTCAACTCCTACTTATTGTTCCTCACTCTCTCGCTCTCATCCATCGTCTCGCTTATTCGCTTCATCTACCTCTCAGATTTACAGCTTTACTCCCTCTTCTGCCATGCAGTCCGTACGCATCTCTTCCCCCGGTGATATTGCTGTGAGTACTCTCTCTCTCTCTCTCTCTCTCTCTCTCCCCCTCTGCTTTGCCAAAGCTATTCTCCCAGCCTTTTCAATGCCCCTTTGTGTTACCAATGTTGACGAGTACTTCCTTGGTTACAGGATGCGTTGATGGAAGCTCTTCTTTCCTTTGGTGCTGCGTCCTGCAGCATTGAAGATTCCAATTTGGGTGCACCTCAAGAGCAAGAGGTCTCTCAACTTCCCACCTTCCCTTATCTTTGAATAGCGTTCCTTTGCTATTCAGAATTGACAGTAGCTTTCTCCTTATCAAGCACAGTTATTCTGTCCACTTTCGGCAGTCCGAATGTTCTTTATGCGATTATGAGGTAAACGCAACCCGTAATTCTGTTGTTGGTTGTGTGGTTTTGTATTTCTGCAGATATATTCGGAGGGACCAATTCCTTGGCAATCAGGCAAGCGGCAGCTATGGAAAGATGTAAGCAGTCTTCCCATGGCTGCGTATTTCTCATCCAATATTCTTCCAACATAGATTTTTAAAACGCTTGATCTCCAACCTCAATTTCCGAATTCACTATCCGGATTTTCCTCTATTAGCTGTGGGAATTTCGATATAGGTGGAATTTGATTCCCACCACTACTTTTTTTCTCTTTTAAGTTCCTTGTCCATGTTTGTTTACATGATTCATTTAATGAATAGAGAGAATGAGATTATTTGTGGTGAATTGCAGAGCACCATCACCGCTCTCTTCGCAGCAGGTGAGGATGTAAGCGAAGCCTTGGCCATGGCAGCCAATTCTGTTGGACTCAAAGAGATGCCACGTTATGTTGTAGAAGTGCTTGAAGACTGTGACTGGGTCCTGGAAGTGGAGGTACTATCTTTCAGGCGCTGTTTGTTTGTGTTGCTGTGTGTGTGTGCTTTAACCTTTGCTTCTCTACTTATTACCAAGTTGGTCTTTACTCATGATCTATATTCGTAGAGGAGTCTGTTTGTTTATGCCGTTATTTGAAATTGGTGAATGAAGCTGATTTTGAAATTTCCTGACTGCTGCATATGGCCAAGTTTTGTGACAATTATATATTTAAGAAGCATCCGCATCCTGTGCCATGAGTTGTTTTTTGAATGCAGAGTCAGTTTAAGCCAGTTGAGGTTTCAGAAGGCCTCTGGATTGTCCCCAAGTGGAGCCAACCCCCTGTATGTACACCATCTTGTATGTCTCATGACTTTCCTTGACAATCTTTAGAGTTATAGCTGATGGTTGAGCTCACAACTGTAAAGTGGTACACCAGACATCCCCATCCTTGCTAGAGCTTACGACCATGTGCTTATGGACTGAGTTATAGAAATCAAATTTGTTGCAGTTCTTACAATGTGATATTTCTGTTGCAAACTCGTAGCCGTGATGTGCTGCCAGTACGTTTCGACCAGACTAATCTTAGTTGACACAAATTGACTTTTTCTCTAAGCCTCGCCCTTCTTTCCTTGGCGCAGGATGCCAAGGCCCTGAATGTAATAATAGATCCAGGGCTCGCCTTTGGTACTGGAGAACACCCAACCACCCGGCTTTGTTTAAGATGGCTGCATTCTGTAGTCAGGCCTGGTGATAAGATAATCGATTATGGGACGGGCTCGGGGATTCTTTCTATTGCTGCTCTTAAGGTGAATCCTCAATATATATATATATATATATATATATATATTTCTCCTATATATATATATATATATTTCTCCTATATTCATTTACTGCATGATCTGCTGTTTCCAAGTTATCTCTTTCCCCTTTATGCAGGTGCGTAGTATCATCATGTGTTCTTAGAGTAACCATCAGGTACAACTTGTAGATAGCAACCTCATGCTTTTATTTAAATACACTCATTAAATACATTTCCAAATGGTTTTTACATTTATTCCTTTATCTTAACAAATTGTGTCCATGTACAGATGGGATCTGTTCATGCAGTTGGTGTAGATATTGACCCAGTAGCCATCTCGTCGGCAGAATATAACGCTTCCTTGAACAATCTTAAGCCCAATACGTTGCAAGTGTATGTCGCTCCTGCTGATGGAGACGACCCTGTACCTAAGGAGTTTACAGACTTTGACGTTGTTGTAGCCAACATACTATTGAATCCATTGGTGGAGCTTGCGGGACGAATTACAGGGTACTGCAAAACAGGAGGTCTTGTGGGCGTTTCCGGAATCCTAGTGGAGCAGGTTGCATTCCCACACTAACTCATTCTGTTCTGGGTTTTGTTTTCATGTGATGAAGTATCATGGAGATTGTTGATTGAAGTGTGTCTCTCACAGCGATGTTTTTCCTGACATCTTTCTGGTTGAGAATGCAGGTACCCAAAGTAAAGGAAGCTTATTCTCTATATTTGGACGATATATCTGTGTCGTATGATAACGGCTGGGCTTGTGTTAGTGGGAGAAAGAAAGGAATCGTAGAGACATCAGCAAGGCCAAGTCAGTCTCTGGAGTCTCAAACTTGAACACCCCAGCAGTCGCATCATTCTAGCATTCAACTGCGAGTTGACTCTTACCTCGTTTAGGAATCGCAGGCTATCAAGGTTCCTAGTTGGCATCATAATGACCAAGCACTTGAAGATCCGTTTTTTATGTAGAGTTATTACTTGTACCTCGCTTACGGTTCAACTTTTCTATTGAAGCTCCTGCACAAAATTGAACAACGCATATAACTTCTTCATGTGCAACCCGTAGTGGTTCTACTTCTCACTGCAAATCCAAATGTTAACATCTGTTGGTGTTTCCTAAACCTTCAATGAATGAGCCGCCATTTTTTCAACGTTTGTATTGTGTCACAAGTTGGCAGTCATCACATTTTTGGGTCGTTACTCTAACTCATTATAGTTTTAGGGGAGCGACCGTTAAGTTGTGTTTACACGTCTAGAAATTGATCCAGCCTTTCCATTGGATCAAAGCTTTTCTGCTTTTCTATGCAGGGACGTTCCCGAATCACCGGTAACGTCATATTCCCGCTGGAATCAGACTTACCGTTTGCACTCAGATGTGCTCATTTACTCAGTATGCTCTCACACTATAGCTCCATAAAATTCAAGATCTCCTAAACTGGTTTGTTTGGATTTACAGATATAAATTAGTTAGGATTAATATCATGCACTCATTCACATCCCCTCTATATTGTGAGGCTGCCAAGGTTAGTACCGTGGTTAGCCTAGATCACATAGAGAGTAAATTCTGTTCAACATGGTATCAAAGCAAAACATTTCATTCCTGCTTTGTTTTTGACTGAATTAGCTCGTCTAGAGACCAAATTTTAGAATCCCTTACATTTATTATCTCTTCATCAATTGATATAGCAAATCATGGAGCTTGCTAAATTCTTTACTAAAGTTGACAAACTTGATGGTAAAAGCAACTAAGTCACATGGAGAATTTGGATCAAAGTTCTCTTTTTGTGACATGATGTTTGGGACAAATTCATGTTTAAGCCACCTACTGCCATTACTACACATGTTATCATTATTGCCTCTAATAATGGCATTACTATCAATGAACGAGTCAAGAATCCAAGAGATCCTAAAAATGATATTTTTCTACCATTAATTGTCCACAAATGGATGAAGAAAATAATCAAAGTGATCTCAATTTTATTAAAGTTAAGGACTCAAAAGAAATAAATAAACTAGTGAGTTTTTTTTTAAAGAGAGATGACAAAAATAAAATAAGTAAACATATATATTAAAAAAGATATTAGAATTGCTATTGCCAATAGATAAGAAAAGTAAAGACTCTTAAAACTAAACTAGAAGCAAGAAAAGAGTTGACAAGAATGAAGATGGCTTCACACTTACTTCCATATATATTATTTAATTATGAGATACATAACAACATTCTACAAGAATTTTGACAAGTGTCCAACTTATAAGACACATGTCTAATTTTCATGACAAGCTTCCTATATGTGTGCCACATGTTCAACTTATATTACAAGTGGCCAACATGAGCAATACATTGCCAACTTATTGGCGAAGTATTCAACCTATTAATCATCTATAGATATAAAGGCATAGCCACATCTATAAAGCTTTTAAGAAGCTTCTTCATAAGTTATTATTAATTTTATCTATTTTTACCTACTTCTACCTAATCATATTATTTAAATAATTATTAGAGTAAATATATATGTCCGTGATAAATCTTCATGGTGTCAAGGACATGAACTAAAAGATGATGCATAAACCAATGAAATCTATGTCAAAGAAAGAATAACAAAAAAAAAAAAGGAAGTACGTATACTAAAAAGAAACTAGAATGGCTTATTGCCAAAAGACAAGAAAACTTGAGACTCTTGAAACTAGACTAGTGTCCCATACTAAAGCAAGAAGACCGCCTTGTTGAGGCCTTTATAACTTCCTTCAAATAAAATATTTGGAATACTGTTAGGAGTTGTTCTTACTTCTAATAAAATTATCAAATATCAGGAGTCTCTTCCAAGGTCGTGATACCAAACATGTTGTATTTCGCCATCTATTTGAGGAAAAATATGTCGTTCTTGAGGATCTTCATCTCGATTACATCATCTTGAAGGTTGTGACAATAGCAATGTCTTGTCTGGCAGGTCAGCAAATGAAGGCTTTTCAGTTGAATCTACTAATTGTTGGTTCTCCATCTCCTTAGTATCATAACTACAAAGAAGCTACAAACAAGGATTGAAAGTAAAATGTTATCTTGCCTAGATCTTGTTTCTTTTATAGAGAAGGTTTTTTTTCTTATTTTTGATGGATGTCATCGATGAAAAGCCTCCACTGCCTTCTCTGCATTTGTAAGATTCTTTACTGGCTCCCATGTGCGTTTACTAATATCATATCCATGCCAATGGATAAGATATTCTAATTTATTTTGGCGCCGCCTTAAAACTACGACTTCTTCCACTTTGAACTCTTTATTATTGTCTATTTCTATAGGAAGAGGTAGAACTTGTCTTTTTTTTGGTATGTCCACTATCTTGTATGGTTCAAGAAGAGACACATGAAATACTTGATGGATTTTCATTGACTCCAGTAGGTGTAAACGATATGCAATTGGATTGATTTGTATAAAAATATGAAATAGTCCAAGTCTACAATAGTCTAACTTGTCACAAAGATGAGTGGTCTTAATATTGCGATGAAGTAACCATACCTTGTCACCCATGTGGAATGGTGGTTGTTCCTTTCGTTAAACATCTATATTGATCTTTTGTTGTTCTTGAGCTTCTTTTAATTGTGCTTTCATTGTTGCATGTAGCTTTGACAAATGATTTGCCAAATCTTTTACCACAAGATTATCTGCTTTTAAAAAGTCAAAAGTATCAAGTCGTGGATGATAACCATAATTGAGAAAGAAAGGTGTTTATTTTGTAGAAAAATGTACCGTGTTATTATAAGTAAACTCTGCCAATGGCAAAAGAATTCTCCAATCATCTTATTGGTAGTTGATGGTACATCTTAAATACTGTTCCAAAACTTGATTAACACACTCCGTTTGTCCATCATTTTGAAGATGAAATGTCGAAGATAGTTTTAAATCTTCTTTTAGAATCTTGAAAAGAGTTTGCCAAAATCTTCATATAAACTGAATTCTCTTATTGGATATAATATCCTTGAGTAATACATGATAGCAATAGATGTTGTCAAGAAAGAGTTTAGTTATTTCTTTACTTAAGATAAATTTTATATATGGTAAAAAATATGCCATCTTGGTAAAATGATCTACTATCACGAATATAGAGTCATAAGAACCTGAGATTCAAAGATCTGTGATAAAATCCATAGAAACAGAAGACCATGGTTGTATTGGAATAAGTAATGGTTGAAGAAGTCCATAAGGTAGATGACGAGGAGTTTTTGATCTTGAATAAATGTCGCATAACTAAACAAAGTCTTTTACACCTGTCTACATTTGTAGCCACCAAAAATCTCTGGATATAAGCTCCAAAGTCTTATTATATCCAAAATGTCTTGCTATTGGAAAGTTATGACGTGCTTGAAGAACATGTAAACATGCTTCTCCTTTTAGAACATACAATCGATCTTTGAAATAGAATGGATTGTTTTTGAATTCAAACTTAGAAGTATCTTAGGAATTAGAAGAAAGATTCTTGATATTGTGAACAAGAGGATTAGAAGACATACTTGATTGGATTTGTTTCATAAGGATCAAATCAATAGTCAATATTGATTTCATTACTAGAAGATGAAAATTCTTTGACTTCAAGTGAATTATTCTTTACTGATCAAAAGATGCACCTTCTTCTTTTGGTGCAAGATAAGAATGTCTAGAAAAGATGTCTGACAAACCTTGTTGTTTTCTGGATTGATATGTAATCTTGAAATCAAATCTTGATAAAGACATGCTTCAATAAGCTTAGCAATGATTTAAAAGACATGTTGACATGAAGTACTTGAGATTCTTGTAATCCACATATATGGTGACTAGATTAGAAGTACCTTTTAAATAATGATGCCATTCTTGAAATGAATCCATGATTGGAAGAAGTTCTTTGTCGTGGATTTCATAATTAATCTTGGCTGTTGAAAATTTTGTGGAATGAAAAGATATTGGGTGAAGTTTATCATCTGTTTCTATTTGTGATAATACGGCATCCAAAGTAAAATGTGATGCATCTATTTTCATAAAAAAATACCTTATAAAAGTTGATGCAATACAAGTTTGGTGCAAAAATAAAGATTGACTTCAAAGTTTCAAAAGATACTTCAGTTTTTTTGCTCCACTTGAGTTTGTCTTTGCAAGTTAAACGAATAAGTGGAGCTGCAACTTAAGAGAAGTCTTTGATAAAGATCCGATAATAGTTGGTAAAGTTCAAAAATCATTAGACATTTCTTACCATTTTTGAAATCTTCCAATCCATAATCGTTTGAACTTTCTTAGGATCCATCATAAGTCCATCATTTGAAATGATGTATCCTAAGAAGTTGACTTGAGTAGTATGGAATACATCACTTATTGAGGACTCAACAAGATCACCATCAAAAATAGGTACCCTCTACCTTTGATATCAAGACTTCTCAATCAATTGAATCAAGCTAAGATCTACACAAAAATAGATCTATGGGGAGTATACAATCTAGTACGTTTTAAAGAAGGAGATAAATAGAAGATTGCATTTCAAACTAGGTATGGATATTTTGAATACAAAGTCATGCCTTTTGAACTTACAAATGCATCGACAACTTTTCAACATCTAATGAATGATATTTTTCGAGAGTTTTTAGACAATTTTATTATCTGTTATCACTGCAATGATCTATCTTTCTTCTTCACAAATAAGATTGAAGCTCCTACTAGTGATTTGGAATAACATATGAAATTCTTGGCTAGATTCTCTTCAATATATTCCTTGAATTCAGCCAATTCATTTTGTAATAAACTATAGATTGGTCCAAATGGCAGTTGTGCCCCTTCTTAAAGGTCAATTGAGTAGTCATAGGGATGATGTTTTGGAAGAGTATCTGTATTCTTCTTCTCAATTACATCTTGAAATTCTTGATATTGGTTGGAAATGCCACTTGAAGTCTCTACATCATTAGAAACATGTGTGGCATAAATAACACAAGGTGATCTTTCTTTTACAGCATGCAAGAAAGCTTTTGCACCTACAAACCTAGGTTTAATTGTACTAGACTTATGACTTTCTACTGGATTAATTTCACTCTTAATTATGCTTTTAGAAAAGTCAAGGTTATGAGAAATCTAATCTATATAAGGATTATACTTTTCTAACCATGATACACCTAAAATAATTGGATTAGACGGAGATCT